TTGAGCATTTCTGCTACTTCGATGTTAGTCATTGTTTTTTCCATACATCCCCCATGTTATGATGCGACGATTAGGGGTTCAGGGACTCATCTTTTTCAACTTGGTGAACCTCCGATCCTGCGCGATGCCATCTTTCGATTGTCGTATCCCCTTTTTCAGAGCCGTCTACTGCGTGGTCACACATTGCTAGCATCTCCTTCTGAGTATTTTTAGGACTCACTGTCTAGTGCCATATCTAGTATGGTAGTTGTCTAGTGGTAGGTAGAAAGAGAGTGTGGTTCTCGCTTCTGCCGCCGATGGCAAGTGGCCCGATTGCTCTGTCGGCTACATCTTGTGAGCGTGGTTCTCGCTTCCAGCGCTACCCTGTGAGTCTCCGTGAGTTTTTGATACTCCTTACTGTTGTTATCTTGTGAGCTTGGTTCTCGCTTCAGGAGCCATCATGCGTGCTTAAGGAGCCTAGGCTCCCACAACCGGCGCCCTCTTTTGAGTGTGGTTCTCGCTTCTGACTTCATCATGAGAGTGTTGTGCTCCATCTATTGCCAGCCTGGTGAGTCCTCGCCTCGGGCTCCTACTCATGGTTATCCTATAGCTTCCAGCTCGCACAGTGATCGGGGTTTTTTACCGCTTCGGAGGCTGATGACATAGCCCGGGTCTTCTTATTGAGTGGCACACGCTTCACCTCGGGCACGGGCTCGACCACACCAGGCGAAAAAACGAACCTCGAAAATTTGCCAAGTGGGGATTGAACCCACGCCCTACGGCACACTTTGTATCAGCAGGCAAGAACTATACCCACAGAGCCAAGGAAGCCGATACAAATGTCTGTATGAGTGTGTGTGTATGCGTGTATGTATGTAAGTGTGGTGGTATGGAACCAGAGACACGTAGCGAGAAGTGGTTTGGCTTGTTTTGAAGAATTTGTGTATCGCAAGAAGCGTCAATAACTTATTTTAGGATCCACTGGGTAATAAAAAGTTATGCATTTTTTATTGTGTTGTAAACTGTTTTTTTTTGTTGAAAAAACTTTATTTCGATTTCTTCATGTATACATGAAGGAATTTTCATACTTTGTTTCGGTATCATGAAAACAGAGCAGCCAAGCTTTAATTCAAGAACGAAAACGTGGAGATTCAACGAATATTAATAAAGTCAAGACTCAAAACGAAAAGTTGTATTTTTGCTCCTTTACAGAGTAAAAGCGAAGGTCTGGAATTACTGTAACTTCTGAACAGACACACGTATTGAGAAGTGTTCAGCTTGTTTTGAAGAAATTGTGTGAAGCAAGCAGCTAATTATTGTACGATCCACAGAGTAGTCAAAAAGTTACGCCTTTTTTATGGTTTTTTATTTTTAAAATTTTTTTTTTCGATTTTTTATGTATAAATGAAGGAATAATTTTTTCATAATTTTCGCTTCCTCATTGAGGAAGTTATGTAACAGGCTCTAAAATGAGATTTGGAACCAGACGTAGTGGGAAAATTTGGGTTACATATTTATAAACTAAGTCAGGTTCAGTAGTGTCTATTCAAGGGAATCTTACACGAAATCCTAGAGATTTCTCGTTTTTTTTTGGACTTTTTAAATCTGGTTTTGAATTTTGAATCGAAAGAGACTTTATCCATAGGTCCAACGCATATTTTTTGCGTTCATGGAATGTAGACATTAAAGTCTAACAGTGACAATATAGAAATTCAACATGGCGGAAAGTCTCATTCTGGATTTTATTCGTCCTCGTCCGTGACTACTCTCTACGAAAAAGACATAGCTCTGCTGTACTCAAAATTAAAAATTGGTCTCTCCCTCGTCTAATTTTTGGCCGGTATATATGTCGAATCCTTATCGCTGGTGCCTTTGCAGAGTGACCCTCGTACGATGCGGGGGCCAGTGATTGGAAATACCTGTTACTGATTGGAATTTCCTCGAATTGCAGCAGCTCGCAAAGCTCGATATACATTTGAGCAAATAGCGTAACACGCGTTCGATCATCCATGGGCTGCAGGCCCACTAAGTGCTATCATCATGGCCTATAGCGTTCGCAGCAGTCGCACTGCTCGGACCATGGGGGTCTGTTCTTCGTTTTAGGAATTGCATAAAATGAGGTAAACGAGTGATTTTCGCGTGAGCTAAATGCGTAACAGCCACGGGTCCTTATAAGCGTAAATAGGTGCAAGTGTACCAATGCGATATCTTGTACGCTGCCACAGCTTATTATATTATATTATATTATTCAAAAGGATATTCATAATATAATATAATATTAATTAATAATAATTAACAGAAACAATCCTGAGTATGCATCTCAATGATAAATCAAAAAAACAGTCCTGTCAGCAACTAGGTTGTTATATTGAGTTTAAATTTTCGATTTGCTCAGCATTTTACAACTGGGGTTGACACTAGTATATATTGCATGAAAAAAAAATAGTTTTTCATGCTAGTCTAGCGAAAGAAAGAAATAATTTTTTCAAATAAATTGAAAAAATAATGAATATAATCGAACAATATAAAAAATAAAACGATTATAAAAATTTTTTTTAAATTATTGCAAAATAAATTAAATAATTTCAAATATTTTTGGTATGAATTGCAACATTTTTATTGTATTTTATTGGAAATTATTTGAAAATATTTAGAATTTTTCACTATTATTACTAATTTTCTGTTTTTATTTTTTAGTATTTATGCAAAAAAAGTAATATTTCAGTTACCTTTTTACCTAGTAATTTTTTTAAAAAAATTAGGAATCGCCGGCCATTTTTTAAATTACTTACATAATAATTTGGAGTAGGGCTGTGCGAGTACTTGAAAAAACTCGACTCGTCGAGTTCGAGTTTTTTCCTCGAGTTCGAGTCGAGTACTCGAGTTTTTTCGAATACTCGCAATATATTTAAGTTTTAAGTAAACAAATGATGAATTAACAGTCTCTAGACCCCTCTCTTTACGTGTGTACATGCTTATAAGTGTGATGAGGTATGGTACTATTAAATTATTTTCTTCTTCCAATTCTAGCCGCTGCGAATATCACACTTTTAAGCATATAAAAACAACGAGAGGGGTCTAGAGACTGTAGATTCACCATTTATTTACTTAAAATTTAAATACATTTCGAGTACTCGAAAAAAATCGATTACTCGAAAAAATTTGAGTACCCGGAAAAACTCGAGTATTCGAAAAAACTCGAGTACTCGAATTTTCCCGACTCGACTCGAACTCGACTCGAACTTGAAAAATCGGATACTCGCACAGCCCTAATTTGGAGTACAGGAGTCCCTCGTTATACGCGGGTTTATTATCCACGGAATTCGTTATCCGCGGTTAGTCGATTTGCGCCCATCCCTTCGTATCCGCGGGTCGAGTCTTGTTATCCGCTGATCGAAGATCGTGATTTTTTTCTCGGACGTATCCATATTCAGTTTGAATTTGGTTAGTGTAGACGCGTAAATCGAAATTGTCAATTAACCTAAATTTGTTGAAAATTTATAAATTTATTTATATATGGCTTCATCTAAAACTCCGTCGAAAACTGCCTCAAAAACCACTGGCAGATCAGACTGATGATGCACCTGAACCGATTTTTGATTCAAAACTGATTGTCGAAGTTATGGTTCTAGTTATTGGAGCAGGTGAATTAGCAATGACTGGTGATCCAATAATGACGCGTAGCTCGACTTTCAAACACTACTATGATTTAGCTGCACAAATTTATGAAGAAATGCACAAAGATATTTTGAGACGAGCAAAACAGAAAAAAATTAACCGATTACTTTAAAAATTAAACATAGAATTGCATATATGTGTTGTAAATATAAATAAACATGTATAAATAGATAAACTACTCAACAAATTCGTTTATTTGTATAAGGTAAAATGTACATATAAACTGTGCTTTCTCGAGGTTGAGGAACGTAACCCTCTCTTTCCCATAAGAGAAAGGTCTTATTATCCGCGGTTTTGTTATACGCGGTACTTTTGAGGAACGTAACCTCCGCGTATAACGAGGGACTCCTGTATATTTAATTGTAAACTTTATGGTGTCGAAAAAGTTTCCCAGGATCTGAGATTAAACCGGTGATCAGTCGGTTGCAAGTCTAGCGCCCTACCGCCTGAGCCATTCATTGGTAATTCGAGCTCTATCAAAAAAGTTATATAAATAGAATGTGTGTGTGCATTTTTTTCAAGTTGTTCATCGAACTATATTTATATTAACATGATATAAAAACTTATAGTTAAACAATATAATTACTAGTTGAAAATCTTGCTTTCGCTCTCACTCTGGATGAGCACTAGGTTAGGACCCGGACCCGGCGATGACTTTCTTCAGATGGTCGTGATTTTTTGGTGACAATGGCTTGCTGGTGACAAAAATTCAACTTCCTGAAAAAAGTCATCACCACGTTCAATTTCAACCTGGTTTACTGAGTGGACCACCCAAGTCATCATTTTCACCAAAAACTCACGACCATCTGAAGAAAGTCATCGCCGGGTCCGGATGCTAACCTAGTGCCCATCCAGAGTGAGAGCGAAAGCAAGATTTTCAACAGGTAATTATATTGTTCAACTTAATGTAAATTATTTAACATAATGAAAATGTTCTTTATTGAACTATTTCGTTTTTATTACTATCATCCTCACATTTTTTCCAATAAATTTCCTAAAGGAACAATACTAGACTTACTGTTGAATTTTCAGACAGGTACGTCACTCGTACATAAAATCGAACGATTTGATATTTAAAAATAATAAAAAAATTAATTAATCAAACTTTAAAAAAATAAATTTTTTTGAAAAATAATAAATAAATACAAATAAATTTGTTCCATTTTCTATCAAGTTTATCTATAAGTTTTTAAAATTATCGGTTTTTATTTGGAATAATTTGAATTTATTTAAAAATATTTTCCATATCTTCCGCTAGGGTAGCAAAAAATTTTTTTTGACATTCAACTACACAGAGTATCACTATAAAAGGCAATAATTTATTTTTCTGATAATATTTTCAGATTTGATGTAATGTTACAACCCTATACGGCTATGGAAGTTTCATTGTGGACTGATTATATTGAATATGAGGTACCTTTCATGGGACAACTATTTTCAAATTATGCAGATGCTGCTGTATTCAAGCCACGTTTAATAAACGGAATTCAACGTGAATCAAAACTTGTTGGCGTCAGGCATGACTCACGACAAGTTAACTTAGATGTTTCTCAAAGTTTAATGAATAAAGCATCAATTCCTGAAACTGAACATACACGATTAAAAGATATTGTCAACAATAAGTCCTTCATAACCAATCAAACGTATTCCAAAATGAAGATGCAACATGATTTCATTGAAGGCAGTGCAATCAAAGACAATTTTCAAGAAAATCAAGAGACGTTGTTATATCATTTTGATTGAAAAAAATGGTATCATTAATGTAACTAAAAAATCGTTTTTAGGTTAAAAAAAATCAATTTTTAGATAAATTAAAAGCCACTGACCTTTAATTAGCGAAGGACTTCTTTTTGAAAATATTCTCTTTCTTATTTTCAGGTATTAATGCTGACAAGAATCACCAATTCCTTATTCGAAAATAATTCAACAAATTTATTCAACGAAAAACAACAACTCAAGTTACTTCAGTGGTATAAAACAGTTTAGTCGATTTAGTGATGTACAGTGTCTTGCTGAAGTATAGGGCAACCGTTTATGGGTACTCTCGTCCATGCTATAACGCTGAGGTTAGGTTCCAAAAATTTACCACGTTAACCCGTTAGTACCCAGACTGATGGAATTTGATTTTATTTTGTAGTCTGTAATTAAATCATTTTATCAGAGCAAAAAAAATTCTTGAGTACACATTTTTTATGTAAAATTCAATGTAGTTTTTGAATATTTTTTTATAAGTTATCTCTGACACATATGAAAAATTATAAATAATTTATTGCGAAAAAACGCTATTCCGAATCCTGGAGCAAAACTTTGACTCAAATTTTTTTTATGAGACTTGAACTGTGGCTGTGCTACCACAACATATATATAATACAACTTACCAAGTATAATAAATAAAAGAACAAAGACAATGATTATTTATTCGGAAATACTTTATTAAACACGCTCATTTATACACGTGTGTAGATAAGTACTTTTACAGTAAGTATCTAGTTCACGATACCACAGACTCACTCACACACCGCAATCCTAGATGGCAGCACCGACCAAGCACACTCAGTTGGTAGGTTGCCACAGTGGCCTTTAACACCGAAAATTAGGAAAAAACAACCTGAAGTTTACAGTAATGTAGGTAAGATTTGAAGATTCAAGATGGCGGAAACCAAAAAATACAATTTTCTAAAAAAATGTACTAAAACTTTTGGTAGTACTCTTGGTACTATTCAACTCATAAATTTTCTCAAATCTTTTTCCATTTATTCCACAATTTTGGGTATTACAGTATGTTCCAGATAAGGCGGACACTTTTGAAATTTCGCTATAAAAAAAGTCAGAAGCATTATTGACTATATAAAATTTATATCAAATTGAAGGAAAAAGTTTGATCTTTCCAATGGTCCACCCATATACGCGGTAGGATTTACCAAATTCTCATGAAATGCGTCGGAAATGACGCGAAAAATTTTTTTTTTCGAATATAGGTTAAAAAAAATTTTACAAGATAGCAAATTTTTTTCGACGGTGTTTGCGCCTATAATGAAGGCGAAAGACCTCTTAAATTTTCCACAAAAATTTTTTTTCTTCGACCTGTAAAAGTACATTTTTTCGCTACAGCGTGCAGCGCGGACTGGCCTTAGCAACGCCGGCCAACAATCGAATGCTAGCCCTCCACTTGCCTGAGTGTTCGATAAAAATCTCGGAAATGATATATGGCCGTATCAAATTGATACGTTGCTTGCATTTACCGTCGAATAACATTCCAAGTTGATTAGCAAAATTTGAAAATTTTCCAGTCAACGGTGATGAAAGAAAAATAAATGATCGGCGTTTATCGAGCTATACGCGACGACAACAGCACATGGAAATGTCTCATGGTCATGTATCGCGCGATGGATGGTATTTCATGGTTGCGATCACCGTCGAAAGGCTTTTCAAGTTGATTAGCAAAATTTGAAAATTTTTCAGTCCACGGTGATGGAAAAAAATACATGATCGGCGTTGATCAAGCTATACGCGACGACAACAGCACATGGAAATTTCTCTAGTCAGGTATTGCGCGATGGATCGTAGTTCATGGTCGCGATCACCGTCGAAAGGCTTTTCGAGTTGATTGCCAAATTATGAAAAATTTCCAGTCGATCAAAGCAGTAAAAAATACAATGATGGGCTTTCTTCGAGCTATACGCGACGACAAGAGCACATGGAAATTTCTCTTGGTCATGTATCGCGCGATGGATGGTATTTCATGGTTGCGATCACCGTCGAAAGGCTTTTCAAGTTGATTAGCAAAATTTGAAAATTTTTCAGTCCACGGTGATGAAAGAAAAATAAATGATCGGCGTTTATCGAGCTATACGCGACGACAACAGCACATGGAAATGTCTCATGGTCATGTATCGCGCGATGGATGGTATTTCATGGTTGCGATCACCGTCGAAAGGCTTTTCAAGTTGATTAGCAAAATTTGAAAATTTTTCAGTCCACGGTGATGGAAAAAAAATACATGATCGGCGTTGATCAAGCTATACGCGACGACAACAGCACATGGAAATTTCTCTTGGTCATGTATCGAGCCTTGGATCGTAGCTCATGGTCGCGATCGCCGTCGAAAGGCTTTTCGAGTTGAGTGCCTAATTATGAAAAATTTCCAGCCGAGCAAAGCAGTAAAAAATACAATGATGGGCTTTCTTCGAGCTATACGCGACGACAAGAGAACATGGAAATTTCTCATGGTCATATATCGCGCGATAGATCGTAGTTCTTGGTCGCGATCACCGTAGAAGGGCTTTTCAAAGTGACTGCCAAATTATGAAAAATATCCAGCCGAGCAAAGCAGTAAAAAATACAATGATGGGCTTTTTTCGAGCTGTACGCGACGACAAGAGCACATGGAAATTTCTCATGGTCATGTATCGCGCGATAGATCGTAGTTCTTGGTCGCGATCACCGTCGAAAGAGTTTTCTATTTGATTAACAAAATTTGAAAATTTTTCAGTCCACGGTGATGGAAAAAAATTATATGATCGGCTTTCTTCGAGCTATACGCGATGACAAGAGCACATGGAAAATTCTTATGGTCATGTATCGCGCGATGGATCGTAGTTCATGGTCGCGATCACCGTCGAAAGGCTTTTCAAGTTGATTAACAAAATTTAAAAAATTTTCAGTCCATGGTGATGGGAAAAAAATAAATGATCGGCGTTGATCAAGCTATACGCGACGACCACAGCACATGGACATTTCTGATGGTCAGGTATCGTTCGATGGAGCATCGTTTATGGTCGTGATTATGGAGAGTCTTCGCTCTCGAGCTCGATGATGTGAGGACGATCTTGGCGCTCGACGCCGGGAAAGTTTTTTTTTTCGGGCCGATGACGTGGGGACGATCNTGTCCGGCATTAAAAGAAAAGCGGAAGCTCATCCAGAAGCACCGCCAGCACAAGTATTACGTACTGAGCTTAAAGATATACCTTCCGGTAACGATATCAAACTTATTCAATTACAATCATTAGCGCATTATGATTTTCTAATTCTACGGTTATCATTTAGGTGTCCTACAAATCAAAAAAGAGCCAGTAGACACAGAAATTCTTCTAAGACAATTGCAATTAGGACAGAAAGTACGGAAAGGACAAGACCCACACCGCAAAAAGAAAGAAGAAAAATTATTTTCATTAGTTTCACAATATTATGAGTACGTTGGAAATGACGATGTTATGTCATACTTGAAAAATATTAGTACCATTATAAGATTATAAAATTTGGGTTTATAAAAAATGGATTATAAAAAAAAATATTATAAAAAACGTACGTTATAAAAAATGTCATTATAAAAAAAAATTTATAAAAAGTACTATATGAAAAATGTACCCCAACCGGATAATAGTCCTAACCTCACTTCGGTGGGCTCTGGCCTGCAGCCGACCCCTCATAGTCACCTCTTTCTAATTCCTTCCAATTCGCATCTAATAATGCCTAGAATTAGCAAAAACAAAAAGAAAGACAAGGGAGCAGAATCAAAATCTATTAAACGTAAAGCTGACAACACAGACAATGAAAATATGTCTAACCATAACCATAAAAAAGTCCCACTCACAGATCAAGAATTACTCGATGCTTCTAATGCCAAAATAGGAGGAGATTCAGATTCCGAAAGTACTTTCTCCATGGAACTCGACCCACAAGCAAACACAAATGACATTTTACACCAACAACAGCTACACCACCAACACCAACTTCACCAACAACAACAACAACAACAACAACAACAACAACAACAACAACAACAACAACAACAACAACTTCACCAACAACAACAACAACAACAATAACAACAACAACAACAACAACAACAACAACAACAACTTCACCTACAGCAACAGCGACTATGGCAGCAGCAGCAGCAGCAGCAGCAGGAACAACAGCAACAGCAGCAGGAACAACAGCAACAGCATCATCAACACCAGCAAATTCAACTAAACTCTCTAAATACCAACCTCACAATAATTCTTCCCATCATTCTCTTTCTCCAACTAAGTCTAACTCAGCAACAAACACAACTATTTCCACCAAGTCCTCTCAACCTAAAAACAAAAGTTCCAGCAGCCCTTCTGAAATACTCACTCCAAAAGATTCCACCCCTAAACCCCCTCTAGTCTATTCTAAATCCAACTGTGGTCCTTATATAGTCTTCATCGAGCCCAGATCATCCTCATCTTCCTCGCCTTCATCCTTAAACCCCACAACTATTGGACGTCTACTCTCTCCTTCATACAGCCCTAATCTAATCTCTATAAAATCTTCTGGCAAGAATAAAATTACAATTTCCCTTAAAAATAGTGCCTCTGCAAACAAACTTATCTCAGATAACATCTTATTTCAAAACAACTTAAAAGCATCCATTCCACATCACAGACTCTTCAGACAAGGAATTATCAGAAACATCCCCAAAGATCTCACTGATAATCACATTTTAAACTCTTTGGACTCACACATTCTCATAACAGGTGCCAGGCGCCTGAAAAGAAGATCCAATATAAATCCTTCAGCGTCAGAACTTGTCGACACTAACTCAATTCTTATAACTTTTGATGGTCAAACCCTCCCAACTCATGTGAAACTCTTCTCTGTTATACATGAAGTAGAACTATATATCTCTCCAACCAAAATGTGCTATGCCTGCTTCAGGTATGGCCATTTAAAAAGTCTTTGTAAAGGCAAGTGCCTATGCTCTCACTGTGGCCATAAACAACATGACTCTTCTGACACTACAGATGTCTGCTCAAGACATGACTTACCTCCTCTTTGCATCAATTGCATGGGTGAACATCTACCCACAGATAAAAGCTGTCCTGAATACATCTTTCAGAGGAAAGTACATCATTATGCTGCAATTCACAATACATCTATTCAAGAAGCACTAAACTTCCTAGCCACTAATGATCCCCCTACGCATATCTCTCGCTCTGTACAGACCATTAAACTCTCTACATCTAAAAATACATCCTCGCCTCCTACCTCATCTCCTCAGCACTTTCCCCTCCTTCCTCGTCATGATTCAAATTCAAATCCTCTCAAATCTTCCCTACCACCAAGAAACACTTCCAACAGCAGCAATGTTACACACTATCCTTCACACCAACCTACTACTTCATCATCACAACGTAAAACATCATATGCAGCTTCTCTGAACTCTCGTCTTACACCTCTTCATCATACTCACATACCTGAGCACCAAATTGCACCTTCCCCCTCTGAAACTCACCCTTCACAACCTCATCACCACCATACCTCATCTAACATCTTTCATTCAAGCTCTTCTACCGTTCCCTCTGTTAACAACTCATCTTCTAACTTTTCTCATCTATCTCGTTCAAACTCACCTTTCCTTCAGTCCCATTTTTCTCGTTGCTCGTCTCAACTCGACTCCCAACCCGATGAAAACCTTTCATCTCAATCTTTTTCAAATCCCAACTCCGACATAGCTCACATACTTACAGAAATTTTCCACACGATTTTACTTCCTCTTCTCATTAACTCAAATCTATCATCACTCCTTCCTATTCTTACTAGCCTATTATCCAACTATCAAAATAATGGATTACACAACTCAGCCTAGTAATAATCCTTTGAATCTTCGCATCCTACAATGGAACTGCAATTCATACTCAAATAAACGTCAATTCATTGACAATTTCTCAATAGATTATGACATCATAATTTTATTTGAAACCAAATATAACCCAGAATACACTCTTAAAATAAAAAACTTTGTAGTCACACGTAAAGATCGCTCTGATCATAGAGGTGGCGGTATCGCCATAGCCATAAACAAAAATCTCGAATTTTCTATTTTGAATGACATTACACACATACCTCATGTATTTGAAATTCTAGGCATCTCTGTAAAATACGATAATAACAAACATATATCCATCATAGCCATCTACAGACCCCCCTCAGTTGATATCTCTCACAACCTCCTCAACAGATTCTTTATCTCTCTTCCTATCCTAGACGCTTCATTCATATGTGGTGACTTTAATTGTCATCACCCGTCTTGGGGCAGCCCTTCTTCAGACCGCATCGGAAATTTAATCAATGATTCTTTCTCTGACAACAATATGCTGTTGTTGAATGATGGTTCATACACCTTCATTAACAAACCCAACCCCAGCAACCCAACCCATATAGATCTCTCTTTCATTTCCCCCAATCTCCTTCCTCTGTGTCATTGGGAAACTCTAAATGACAATTTTCTCAGCGACCACCTCCCTATTTTTACACAAATTAACATCCCTATTTTTAACTCTCCAAAATCAATAAATAGACATTTTCTCAAGAAATGGCGTGACCTTGAGTGGTCAATTTTTAAAGTCACCCTAGAAAACTTTAATGTAGCTAATGAAACTCAACTCAATACATCAGATCTTTACACAACTGTTATTGACCAAATCACTAGTACGATCAACGACATCCACTCTATGAACTCCCCTTCTCTCTCCTCCACTATAAACAATCACAAAAACGACAACAACATTAAACCAAAACGTAAAATCCGCCCTCCTCAACCCCCCTGGTGGGACGCAAACTGCATAGAAGCTAATGAAATAAGGAAAACAGCTCTTCGCAACTTCAGGAAAAACCCCAACCTACTGAATGAACTCATTTCTGCTGAAGATAATGCCAAGATAGCCTTCCATACAGCCAAACGAAATAGCTTTAGGAATTTTTGTGAATCAATTAACCCACTCACTCCTGTAAATCAAATATGGAACACCATCAAAAGATTTCGTCATAGATCTCTCACCGCCGACTCTGCCTCCAACAATAATAAAAATATCAACACCATGCTCAATCTGATACCATCCCTATGTCCCCCTTCTTGCTTCAAACCCTTTTTCCTCTCCACCTTTACGCCCACACCTGACTGCTCTGCCTTCTTCTCCAAACCTTTTTCACTTCAAGAACTCCATTCAGCTATCCAGAACTGCCATAGAAAAATTCAGTCTGCCCCCGGTCTTGACAAAATCGATAACCTTATTATCACTAATCTCCCAGACAACATTCTCTCCTTGCTCTTAAAAATTTATAACGAAGTCCTTACCAATGGCTTCTTCCACGAGTCATGGAATGATTTCAAAATCTTTTTTATTCCAAAAGGTAACACTGGAAAATTTCGACCTATCTCTCTCGCTCAATCATTACTTAAAATCTGTGAAAGACTCATTCATAATCGCCTAATCTGGTGGCTTGAACACCATAAACTCTTACCATTAACCCAATTCGGCTTTAGAAAATCCAGAAGCTGCACAGACAACTTATCTATTCTTACCTCTGTCATATATTCTTCTATGGCAAAAAGAAAATACACCGCATGTTTGTTTCTAGATGTCAAAAGCGCATTTGATGATATCAGCACCGAGTCAATAATCTACACTCTTAAAAACATTGGACTTCCAAAATCCATTTGTTTATTCTATTACAATCTCATTGCAAAAAGAAATATTTATTTCAACGTAAATGGTTCAACCATTGGACCTTTTCAATCCTACAAAGGCGTCCCACAAGGTTGCGTTTCTAGTCCCACTTTATATAACATTGGAGTTGGTGACTTGAACAGCATCATAAATAATAATTGCAACACCCTCAGTTTCGCAGACGACATTGCTTTATACTCCACTTCATCTGATCTAAACACTGCACTATCTCGCCTAGAAATCAACGTAGCTAAAATAAATAATCATCTTGCGGCTAGAGGCCTATCTATATCTGCCGCCAAAACTAAACTCGTAATCTTCACTAGGAAAAATATAGACCATAATTCCCTAGCAATCACCATCAATGATTCCATCATTAAAGCGTCTCCCAGTGCCACATTTCTAGGCATAATACTCGACAACAAGTTATCATTTGAACCTCATGAACAACAACTTTTAAAGAAGCTCTCTTCTCATTCAAACATTATTCGTTCTCTTTGTGGTACTTGGTGGGGTTCACATCCTACCTGCCTTACCATGCTTTATAAAGCTCTCTTCGTCGGTACTTTTAACTATAGTGCACCTATTATACCCTCTTCCAGTAACATTTTTAAGAAACTAAACATTATGCAACGACGTGCCCTCCGAGCAATTTTAGGCCTGCGTATTTCTACCCCCAACAAAGTAGTATACGCCGAAACCAAACAGCCTCCTCTTCACATTTGCCAAAAACTTCACCTTTCGAAATACATACTCAGATGTTTCTCTCTTTCCAATCACCCTACTATTACTGCGATTACTTCTCTTTCCAACTCTATTACTCCTAGCACCCCTAATTACGTAACTCAATCTCCTCTTCTTCCTCTTTTCAAAAAAATGTCAGCATATAAGAAACTTATTCACTCCTGTCCTTTCCCTCTATGTTTTTTCTTTTCCACAGAAATTCAACAATTTTCTCCTACGATCAACCTTAGTAGTGGTAAAATTATTAAAAATGCCAACTCACCCCCCAATGAATTCACTACTCAATTTCAAGATCTTTTAAACACTCATACGATTTTTTACACAGATGGCTCAAAGAAAGATGAAGACAGTTCTGTAGGACTTGCAATCTACAGTCCTACTCTCGATTACGAAGCTCTGCTGAAAATTTCTCCCTACTCTTCAATTTTCTCTGCCGAAGCCTTGGCAATACAACTCACCTTAGAATTAATTCTACATAAAAACATCTCATACGCCATAATCTTTACGGAATCATTAAGCACCCTCCACGCCATAAACAATTCCTCATTTTTTCTTGAATCTAATCATATATACATCTTTCGTATTAAAACTCTTTTGCACGAACTACACAATAACAATCAACAGGTTATCCTCACTTGGATACCCAGCCATTGCGATATTCCAGGAAATGAAAAAGTTGATTATCTCGCCAAACAAGCCATACGATCTGGCATTAAACCTCCTCATCTACTACCTCACTCAGACTTCTCACCTACCCTCAAACAGCAATTAAACACGCATTTGAACGATTTTTTTTCCAAATCTGACACCGAAAAAGGTTCATACTACTTTAATAATTTTTTCAATAATTCACCCAAAACTTGGTTTCACGAACTTTCATCCACTCTAACAAGAAAGCAGATAACTTCGTATTGTCGAATGCGTAGTAATCACTATAATCTTGCCTACAGTCTTCACAGAAAAAATCTTGCTTCATCTCCTTGGTGCGAATGCAATGAGGATTATGAGGACCTCAATCATTTATTTTGAGCATGTTCCAAGCACTCTGTCCCCCGCTCTAATTTAATTTCCAACCTCATGAAAAACAAAAAATTTCCCCCTTACACCATTACTGAATTTCTCCATAATCCACAGATACACCTCATCGAAATCCTCTGTAATTTTCTCCACAAATGCAATATAAATATATGATTTGACTTGGGCACCTCATAACTTCCCGCCTTTCTCTCATACATCCCGCTGGTTAATGGCCGTATATTTTAAACGTGGGTTACTCCACTAGATGGTGCCATAAAAGAAGAAGAAGAAGAAGAATTACTTGTCCTAACATCCTCATGCACCAAGGGACGCTTACTCGAAGAGTTTTGAGGGGTTCTGATGAATGCCGATATTTCGGAATCTTTGATGCCGATTTGATGAATCATGTTGTTCCACACGTTAGTACTAGTTGCAACGTTCGCTTCACAAAGCTGAGCGAAGTTAGGTAAACGTAGTCATTGTCTTTAAAAAACCCATGAAATGATATTATTTTCTCAAATAATCAAATAGTAAATTTTATTTTCACCGATTGCAAAAACAACAAACTTCTATCCAGGATGAATTGTCTAGGCACAAGCGTATAAAAGTAAGCGCGAAGATATTAAAACATACATACACATAACACACACATACACACATATCTAATATAGTAGCAGGGCGAAAATAAGTGCAAATATAAGTACGTGCTTAAGCGTGTACTTTATTTATTGTGAAAGGTTCATGCTATGGCTTTTTTCAATGAAACAGTATTTTCTACTTACAAAGTGAGCCTTTCATCTGCGGGTCACATATCCTTACCAAACTTGTTTGGGGGTCTTCTTGTACATAATAATGAAGCCCCCTATGGTTACTTTATTCCAATGGGCCCTAGAAACCATTATAAAGCACCCTAAACTATACAATATAATATAATGTATAAAATACCACTTATTGGTATCAGGCCTTGTACGGTCAAGTCTAACTCTCTCAAAAATATTTGTTCATGAACTTTTATGGATTCTAAACACTTTTGTAAACAATAAACAATTGAACCCAATTGGTTTGCTGTGTAAGTTTTAAAGCGCGCACCAATTTGAGCTTAAATTAGCGTACCAAACAATAAATATTGATGTAAATTATATGGAAATATTTTTTATTTGTATAACTCACATATCCCTTCTCTTCACCTATTCCTGACACTCATCTGGAGTGAATTTACATATGTTTTGAGTACCAGAAATAGGTGAGAAAGAAAGAACAGTAAGTTTTATAAATAAAAACATTTTTACATGATTTAATATAAATATTAGTTGATAAATGCATAAATTTTAACTTGAATTGGTTCGCTCTTTGAGACTTTTTCAATAAACCAATTGAATTTTGGAC